AGGGAGGGAGGGAGGGAGGGAGGGTGAGCCGTAGCGGAAAAGTGCCCTTCTGAGTGCGGAAAAGAGGCAGCAAAAGATACCATCTTCAACGAAGCAGCGATTTCTTCCTCCAGAGCGTTGGAAAGACAAGCCTCCCACGACAAGTTCCGCCGCCGCTTCTTCGTCCGACGGCACTAGCCATGACCCTTACCTTGCGAATAGATGGAGGGATAAGCCCCGATGCGGCCCAATAATCAACCTGGAGGTAGGCTATCATGGCTCCTGCTGAGCAGCCGGCGAAGACAAGCTCTTCTCCCTTGTCGAGACCCCTGACGACCGAGAGACGGGAGAGAAGAAGGGGAATTGAGACATGAGAAATGCCGGACCAGAGGACATCAGACGCCTTTTCCAATGTCTGCCAAGGAAGTTGCAGGCATAGGAATCAAAGATTGATCGGATTTCTCCGGTGCATGGCGCCTCCCTCCCTCCCTTTCTCACTCCCTTTTGCCTGTCCTCCTCTCTTCCCACCCTCCCTCCCTTCTCCTTCCTGCCCCTCCCTCTTCCTTCCCCTGCCTCTCTTGGGCGAGTCCTTACATGAAGTCTGTCAAGTCTCTCATGATGGCCTCTTGGATGAATTTTCCTCGAAAATGCAACCTGAGGTCGTGCATCTAGCAGTTCCAACACGGAAACATATGAAAAGAGACAAATCAAAACACAAAAATGAGGCCGCGCCAGGACCACCACATCCTCTCTGTCCTTCGTCTGTCCCGCATTTGCGACGCAAATGTTCAATGGCCCAAAAAAAGTCTTTCTCTCCCTCTTCATTTTTATTTCCACCCTCAGTCCTCCACCTCTCCTGCTCCTCCCTGCTCCTCCCTCAATCCTTTACCTCTTCGGTATCCATCGTAGCACCCGACCAGAAGTTTCCATCGCAGTACTGTAGGAGATAATGATGGAGTCCGCTATGAGTAAAAAAGCAGTACCTTCAGTATTCCGTCGGTCCTATTTTCCCAATCTACTCGAATTGAGACCCCTCTTCGAAGCCTAAAGCCGAAGAGAGATCAGAAGTCTCCTGTGTTCAAGCCTTTTCCCTACCTTGACGAAAACAACGTTCCAATTATGCAGGCCTGGATTCGTCTCTGGGTCACTCGAGACCATATCCCATTCCAAGGCTACCGAGGGGAAGGCGGGGCGGGAACCGTGGGTGTAAGCTCGCAGGCCTCCATCAACCTCCTCATGCGTTCCGGGTCTCGGACCCATTTCCACGTATACACGCCGGCATTCTCCAAGCACGGACTATTTCTATCAAGCCCTGCCAACCCGC